TACATGTGGCCATGTGTATGGGCTGCAATCAAGACGAGGCACACACCGCAGCTCGGTGGATGATTCGAACGTCCGCTCAGCGTGACAAAGTACTATGCTGCACGTCGCTTTGCTTAAGAAGCCCCCGATTGGTAGACCGTCCATGCGAGCAACAGTCGAGCCCATTACACAGAGCGTCATTGACCAGAAGGCCTCCAGCGTAGAAAGACGTTGTGAGAAAGTGAAGCAACGGGTGCTTCCCTGCACCATCTGTGGACGTCCACCCATAATGCTTGTTTTTTTTTTGTGACCGGAACTCCGAGATCGACGAGAATCAAGACTGCGTTTCGGCCATGTCGGCGACAGCCTGGCCCGCTCGTGTTAGTCGCTTGGGAAACCTGTCTCGCATCCGCCACTGCGACTGTCCAGGGAGATTTTGGTCGCTGGCAAGGGGGGCACGTACAAGGTCGGAAAACTTCAAAGTCGGGATACAAATCTTTTGGTAATGGTCTCGAGGCCCCTCGAAATCAGTTTCCAAGGCAATCTTCGCCTCCAGCCTGCACAATTCACAACCTCTCTTCCACAATTGTGGCCCGCCTTCCCGCGCGAATGCGTCGATTTAGACGTCGCCGATGCACCTGGACTTTACCGTGATGTGCACTCTTGGCAACATCCACGATTTGTTGGGGCCAGGGGAAGTGGCATCGGGAGGGCGGACCCGTGGCTGTTTTACAGAAGAGTGCGGCAACGGGGGCGCGGGCCCGCTGCTTGTTCGAGGGGTCGCGGCTGGGAGTTGAGGTTCTTCGCAGGCCTGGAGGTTGACACCAACACCAATATCGGCGGTGTGCCTCCACCGAGGGAAGAGTATCCCGATCTCGGTGATGGTGGTAATATTCTGGCTTCCAAGGTGACCGAAATACTACCACCAACGCCGAGATCGAGGATCATCTTCCCCCTGTGGAGGCACCCCCCTGTGTTGGTGTTGGTGCCCATTTCCAGGCCTCCAAGTTGTACCTGGTTCGTGTGGGCGACGATGGGCGAAGGTATCTCCTCGGGCCTCGCGGGGTCGCGCGCGTTCTCGGAGACTCAGCTGCCTTCCTCCCGAGGAGCTGGACAGCTCTGCGCTCTGAGAGGTGGCGTCGGGAACGAGTTCGGTTGCCAGGTTGGTGGGACTCCAAGGAGATTGCATCGTTGCGAGTTGGCCCTGTCGCTGATGACAATTGAGCTGCCCAGTTGCTGCGACCCAATCCTCGCAGTCTGATGTCCCCCAAGGGGGCCCGCGGATAATGGTGGCAACACTCGTGGCGCGCGCCAAACGCGTTTGCACAGTCGCTGAGGTTCTGATGATTGCCATGGTGATGACGATGAGACTCAGCCTGACGGCTGTGATAATGCAGTTACCACGTCGCCAAGCGGAGGAATCGATGCAACCTGCATGGAACGCTGCATTTGTGCGTTAAGCTGGCAAGGGGAGAGGTGCCAGCCATGTGCTGACTTCGAACGCAGCTCCCCATGCCATTGCCAGGTGGGGGCGCGAGAGGTCGACCAATGCCTCAGGCCGACGATGATTACCGTGCCTCGAAGTATTAGCAGTATTCGATTCGGCGTGCTTTTTCATCGCCATGTTTGGAGACCTCTACGTACGAGGTCTTGCCGTCGGGATTGACAGTAAACTGCAGGCTTCAGCACGCCAGATTGTTGTGCAGTGTGGTTTCTCGTGTCGGGTGTTCCTCCAGTTCTATTTGCAAGTCACGTCAGTACCGCACACGTTTTTTTTTTTTTTTTTTTTTTTTTTTTTTTTTTTTTTGTTGTTGTTGTTGTTGTTGAACATTATTTCTTCTAAAGAATAATTATTGTTGGGCCCCTGGTGCACGACCCCCCTCCAAAACCTAGGCCGCAGCCTCATTTTCATCATTTTTTAGCGAAAGCTTCAGAAAAGTGGATTGGTACCGGATCCGGTTGTTTTGTTGTAATCCGTTTTCCCTTGCAAAAAACACTATAAAATGAAAATTCTTGTTCTTACTTGATCAAATTGCAAGAATCCCTTGCAAAAAATAAGGTAAAGTGGACATTCGCGCGCGCAAGACGAAATCCTTCCAAAACCTTAGGTTTCGGAGCGATTTTAACATAAAAACATCAAAAACCCAATGGTTTTTTAAGAAAAAATTGTCAAAATGTCCTTCCGCGCGCTCTTGCGGATTCGTAGGAAAACCAACACTTTTTAAACAATTCTGTCAAACGGGCTTTTGCGAGCAACTTTTTCGAACTTCTGCGACAACGGTTGCGCACCTGCCAGGGCCATCATCCCTGTCAAATAATACCATGCGGGACAGATTCGTTTTTTCTTCGCGCGCGCACGCCGAAATCTCCAAAAACCAGATGTGATCAACTATCTTGTGAGTACGTATCGTGTGTATCATGTGTATCATGTACCATATGCATCATATGCAACAAATGTTCTGTGGAAGGCTTAACAACTTCTGTGGGTTAACAAGGCTTAACAACTTCTGTGGGTGTACGAACGTAGGCTTAACAACTTCTGTGGGTGTGTACTCCACGCCAGTGTAGTAGCCACGGTCGTCCGCAGGCCACGAAGTGAAGTGTCCGAACGTCATAGGGCGGGAAGCTGGGTGTGGGTGGTGGCGAAGAGTCGTTTGGATATTTGGTAGAGCTTGCACTGCCCCCCCACAAAGTGGGGGTATTGGCTGGCGTCGCATGAAAACCCTGGCACTGGTGAGAACACTGAGCGTTCGGGTAAAATGATTGTTGTTGTTGTTGTTGTTGTTGTTGTTGTTGTTGTTGTTGTTGTTGTTGTTGTTGTTGTTATTCTTAGGCTTACGCCACACCGCCGACCCTTTGTTAATGCCAATCTGGGGGTAGTAGAAGCTGCGAAGGGGTGAAAAGGCGAGTGATATTTGTTTGGTGTCTGTTCGCCGCCACCGCCAGAGGGTCTCGGGCAGTTCCGCGGGGAGGTCCGAGCGGACAGCGACACTGCGAGTTTTGGAGCCACTCGGGGGCCGTTTCGGAGCCTCTGGGGTGCTTCTTGGGGGTTCCTTGGGGCGTCTGGGCGGCCTCGTGAGGGCCTCTGGGGGCCTCTTGGGGCACTCTTGGGGCCCCCTGGGGCTCCTGGGGGCAGAAAGCTAGAGTTTCAACATGTTTGGTCGCCCTCTTGGGCCCCTCGTGGTGCCGTCTTGGAGCCCTCTTGGGCCGTCTTGGGGACCTCTTGGGCCGTCTTGGGGCCGTCTTGGGCCGTCTGGAGGCCGTCTTGGGGGCCTCTTGGGCCATCTTGGGGCTATCTTTGGGGCCTCTTTGCCCGTCTTGGAGCGTCGGGAAGCCGGAAAGGCGGAAAAGCAAAAAACATCGAAAAACACTCTGGAAAATCAGCAATTTTTGACTCTTTGGGCCCTCTTGGGAGGCTCATTTGGGACCTCAGGGGCCGTCTTGGAGACCTCTTGGCCCGTCTTGGGGCCATCGTGGGCGTCTTGGAGCGGTCGTTTGGCTTCTCGGAGCCTTCGTGGGCCGTCTTGGAGGCCTCTTGGGGGCTTCGTGGCCCGTCTTGAAGCCCTCTTGGGCCAGGAAAAGCTCCGTGGAGCGCTCGTCCCGGACCCCCCCCCCCCTCCAAATCGACCGGACCGGGCTCCCGGGGGAGGGGTTTGGGGAGGGGGAAGCATCTCACACGCCGATGATCCCCAAGGGGTCGGCGGATTTTTTTGTTGTTGTTTTTCCACGGCAACAACCCAGCGACGATGATAGCACTCCACGCGAGGCGTACCAATCTCCACCAAGCCAGAAGTAAAAACCAACGGGCGCGCTTAAAACCTCGGCCTTGGCCAGAAGTAACAACCAACCGGCAGGAGATACAGGAGGACGGGGAAGGACGAGGGGAGGAGGCGGAGGAGGAAGAGGGAACGAGAGCGGACACGCCACCAATAGCGCCACAAGCGAGACAGTCACCCGCAGAAGTTTTAGGCTGCGCCCCAGAAATAACCCACTTGGGAGCATGGGTGGCAGCCGACAAATGAGTTGTGAGAGAGAGGGAGAGAGAGAGAGAGAGAGTATTGTTTGCAAAGCTCTGGGACCGAGTTCCGACTCAGAGTCCGCGCCGCTACGGCGGCATCCACGCTTCTTTGTTAGCTCGAGTTTCGAGAAAGCAATCAACTACTTGGACCGCTCGAGTATAACCAATGGCAGGTCCTGGTGTGCCGCAAGCGGATTTAGGATTTGTCGCAGGCGTGTCGGCTTTGTAACAGGACGCGAAGGCAAGCAGGTCGTTCGGTGAGGGCGACGGTAGCTGCAGGACAAGGACGAGACGCTATTCCCCGTGCCCTCTGACCATGCACCCAGGGGCAGCGTACAACCGCTCGGCCCCACTCCCTCGGATTCTTTTTTCCAGGGTTTTTCAAATTTCCACAAGCATCCCGAGTGAAGGAACACCCTGCGCATTTGAGCAAAACGACATTTCAGGATAGAGGTGGTAACCACATTTTCGAATGTGCCGTGGCATGTAGGATGAATGATACCTGCCGCCCTGGTTGATTCTACCTGACGCTATGGACCTTCGTCATACGTTTTGGCATCCTCTGAAGCGCTCCCGAAGCCGACTTGTGCATGACTAAAAGAAACGCTAAACGTATAGGAAAGCCTTGTGTGTTGTAGCGATTTCAGCTTCTCGGGGGTATTCTTGAAGAGCTTCCTGGCCTGCCAGAGCTGTTTTCGGGCCGTGTGGAACCTCTTGGACGCTTGACGGCGGCCGTCTTGAACGGACATCTGACCGTCACGTGTAGTCTTGGAGGCCATCTGAAGCCATTTGAGGCATTCTTGTCGATTTCGCTCGTTTGGGACGCCCAGGCTGCTCTGATACCACCCTGGCCTCACTACCGCCCCTCCCCAGCTGGACCAGTTTCCCTGGAGTGGGACTCGAAAAAAGGCAGGGATCCCAAACGCCGAGAATACCATGGGGTAGGCGAATTTCTGGGCGTCGCGGGCCTGAAACGCCTCCAGCGCTCCAGGCGCGGGCATTTAGCCATTTTGGCTCACGCGCGCACTGCGCGCGCTGTGCGCCGTCGAGCGCGCCCCGCGCCGGCCGAGCGGCCGGCGATGGGCCAGGCACAGCACGTCCACAAGGAGGGCCCCCGGTCCAGCCTCGAGCACGTGCGCCTCGGCGGCATCCCGACGCCGCAGCGCTGCCCAGCTCCAAGCCAGGTCGGCACCGGCACCCCGTGCCGCCCGGAGCTGGAGCAGTCCCAGGCGCCCTCTCGCTCCGCACCCTCCAGGGCCCCGCCCCCTCGGGGCTGGCAGCCCCGCCTCCAGGCCCCGCCGGCGCCGCAGAGGCTCTCCGGCGCACGGCCGCCGATGCCGACGCCGGCGGCCTCGCCCCTCGGGCGCATGGCCGAGATCCCGGAGGACGACCAATGGGGCATCCCCGACGACAAGCTGCCCGAGGTGCCGCCGCCAAGGCCGGTGCCATCGGCAGGCGTTGGCCCAGCGCTCAGCGGAAAGGCAGCGCCCCGCGCCGAGGAGGACAGGTGGCTCGCGCCGCCCGCGCCGAGGCCCTCTGTCGAGAGCAGCTTCACCTCGTGCAGGCCATCCGTGGACTCGCAGCCGCCCACGGAGGCGGGCGGGCAGCTCTACTTCGGACACCTGATGCGCGCCCAGGGCGCCTCCGCAGAGACCTCGCCGAGGACTTCACTGGGGCCGCCGTCGGCCTGGGCGCAGCGCACGTTTGGCTCGGGGCTGCCTCCAGGCCTCGACCTGGCGAAGCGCCCGAGCCTCCGCCAGAGCACCGGCCTGCCCAGCAGCGCCCCCAGTGGCAGCTGCAGCCCGCGGACGCTGCCCACGGGCAGCGCGCGGCCGAGCATCGCGCCACCTGCCGTCGACAGGGGCGACACGGATGATTTCGACACCAAGGCAGCGACCATCAGGGCGCTCTTCCAGCTGCAGGAGGAGCGCCGCAAGGAGGAGATGCTCCTCCGCACGGACGCCCGGCTTCTCGGGGAGGCGAGGTCGGCGCCGCCGTCGGCACGCCCCAGCGTCGAGCGGGGCAGCCTTGGGTCTGACGGCAGGCCTCGGAGACGAGCAACCTGCGTAAGCAACATCTTTCGGAGCTCCGCGCGGATTTCTTGGATCTGCGAGGGACCCCCCTGACGGCGCCTCCGGCGTCGCTCTGGCACATACCCAAGAACTCTGCGCGGATGTTGCTGCCGTTTTTCGGAAACTGGAGCATGCACATTACCAGTGGCGGGTGGTTTCTCAGTCCCAGGACTTTTTGAGGCTCGGGGACGACGTCGGGGTGGTGTGGTGCATACTTTCTCCCCGTTTTCCCAGGGAAACAATGAAACATGTATACACCAGGATCCCGTTTTCACCAGGATTCGCTTTCCAGTGCGAGCTTCAGTGTGAGGCCAGACAAAGGCGTCGGTGTATAGAGTTCGGCTTCTTAGTTTTGTGTTCCTCTGAGAGGCCCTCGTGGCTTCTGGCGCAGGCCTCAGCTGGCCCCGGCCGCGGCTCGGTCGGCACTGCAGCCAGCCTCGGCGCCGCGCGGTCGCTGCAGTGCGCCGACGCGGCGTCCGAGGAGCTCGACGCCGTCGCCGCGGCGCGGCGCGACGCACTGAGGTCGGCGGATGCTAAGTTTGCGCGGAGTTAGTCCGGAAGAAGTTCTCGGTCTCCGTCTGGGCTTAGCCTCTGCTGGTAGGGTGCTAAGTCTGTACGGGAGAAGTCCGCACGGAGTGCTCGGCCTCCGTCTGGGCTTCCTCCGTCTGGACGTAGCCTCTCCTGATGAGGGAGAGGGAGAAGCGGGAGGCGGTCGCGACGTTCTTGGCGCAACAGGGGTTCACTGGCGTGAACGCTAAGAGGAGGACCGGGCGTTGCCTACCGGGCGGGCGACAACTGTGGGGGGTGGAGAGGTGCACCCCTTGTGCCCTAGCGCGCCCTCCCGGGGCCCAAAGAAAAAAGGGGCATGCACAGTGCACGTTTCTCTCCCCCCCCCATTTTTCGCCCCACCGTGAGGCAATGCCCGAGAGGAGCACGAAGCAGGGCACCTTCCCCCTGCACGTCGCGGCCGAGAGGGGCGACCGCCGGCTCGTCTGGCACCTGCTGGAGGAGGGCGCGGACCCGTCCCTGCGGAACTGCTCGGGGCAGACCCCCGCAGAGGTGGCGCTGGAGCGGGACAGGTCGAGGGAAGAAGTACGATGACCATGACCAAGAGACCAAGATGTCGCAGGACTTGCCGACACCGATCTTGGTCATGTTCCACGCCTGCTGTCGCCGATTCGCGAGGATACTCCCGCGGATTGACGATGACCAAGATGAATGGTGACCAAGGTCGACACCGACGTTTTCGCTTCCAGTCTTGGTCATGGTCATCGTCTTCTTTCCCTTCAACAGGGGCGGCTCACACGCGGAGGTGCTCGCGGTCCTCCACGCCGCGCCACCCGTGGAGCGCGCGGACAGCGCCCCGAGGAGGAGCCTGAGCCTGAGACTGTTCGGCATCGTCGGCCGTTCTCGCAGCACGGCGTGAACAGGCCAGCAGGCCGCCGTAATCTTGGCGCTTCGCGCATTCCCACTGGCGTCCGCCCCCCCCCCTGCAGCTCGTTGCATGCGTGCACCCCTGGCAGTGCAGCCACCCTGGCAGCCACCGCCTGCCCCCCTCCACTCGCTGGCCCGCCCGCCGAGGTGCCGCGTGAGGCTCCGGCCCACCGCTTTAGGTCAATTCGTTTGCGCGGCCCGCTTTGACTCGACTCGCCGCTGGCGCTCTCGCCTGCGGCCGCTGAGGAAAAAAGCATTCCCACTGGCGCATCCAGCAACGATGCCCAGGCGAGATGCCTGGATCGGTGAACTGTAGAAGCAGCCAGTGGAAGAGCGAGCGGGGCAGCCGCCAGGCCTGAGCTCGGGATCGGCCTGAGCAGGGCGGGCCCGGGAGCCAGCCGTACATGCCTCCGCGGACCGTGGGCAGCCTTTCTGGAAGCTCCCTTGGAGCGACCCTCTTGGGGCCACCTTGGAGCCCCCTTGGAGCCCTGTGGGGCTCTCCTGGGGGCTCTCTTGGGATCAGCCTGTGCAGGGCAGGCCCAGGAACTAGCCGTACATGCCTCCGCGGACCCTGGGAGCATCTTTGGAAGCCTCCTTGGGCCGACCCTCTTGGGGCCACCTTGGAGCCCTCTTGGAGCCGTCGTGGGGCCGCTTTGGAGCCCTCTTGGAGCCCTCCTGGGGCTCTCTGGGGGCTCTCCTGGGGCCCTGCCGGTGTCCTCTTGGAGGCCTTCGGGCCCTCCTGGGCCGGACCAGGACGCATCGATCAACAATGAGGGGCCCTTTCAGGAGGGGAAAAAACACACAGACACAATTAATCGTCGATTTCCCAGAAAATATGGGAAAATATGGGAAGTGGGGGGCGAGACAAGAACCCAGAAGATATGAGAAAATATGGTGAATCTTTTTATTTGTGTGTATTTATTTGTGTGTCCTGGGGCCCCTTCAACTTTGGAGCCCTCTCGGAGCCCTCTTGGGGCTCCCTTGGGGCTCCCTTGGGGCTCTCCTTGGGGCCCTGCCGGTGTCCTCCTGGAGGCCTTCGGGCCCTCCTGGGCCGGACCAGGGACGCATCGATCAACAGCGAGGGGTCCCTACCTGGCGTCGCCCCGCCGCAGCCCGAGACATCGCCTCTTGGGGCTTTCTTGGCGCCCGCCTGGGGGGCGTCTCGGAGTTCCTCTGGACCTCTCTTGGCGCCTTCTAGGGGGGCGTCTCGGAGTTCTTCTGGACCTCTCTTGGGGCCCTCCTGGGCGATCTGGAGCCGTCTCGAGGCCTCAGAAGCCGCTCGGAAGCGAAAGGGCGAGACTGGCCAAGTATTGAACCGGGCTTCGAATTCGTCATGGCCTCTTGAGGGTCTCATTCGGAGGCTCCGTCTCCGAGCCGTCTGTTGGTGGTCTTGAGGCCTCTTGGAGGCATGCTGGAAGCTATCTTGAACCATCTTGGGCTATCGTGTGCCATCTTGGAGGCCATCTTGGGCCCAGGTACCCCTCGCGGAAGCCCGGTCCCGACCCCAGGGGAGGAGGCATGGGGGGAGGGGTCCAGCAGCCCCCCGCCGAAGGGCGGCCGCCGCGCTCACGCCCATCCGCCCTCCCGTCGCAGAAGCAGCATCCGAGTCCCAGCACGGGCAGGGGCCGCCATCGGAAGTCATCTGGAACCAACGCAGACGCCATCCCGGTGTGCGACGCCCGCGAGGTGCGCCGCGCGGTCCCGGGCACCCCCCTCTTAATCCTGTCCGATAGCAGTGCAGAGCGATCGCGGGGCGCCCGACCATGATCAAGATCCTGCTGCAAAGTACATTTCACGTTTTTTTTTTTTTTTTGTTTATTTTTTGCCACGGGGTGATGGGCCTGCGCGCAGCAGGCACTTTGCCCGCCCCATCCCCCTCGTCCATGTCGACACCATGATCGACCCGTGCACCTGGAAAGGGACACAGAACTGTGAGGCATGACAGCGTTTTCAAGACACCTTGTTGGGCAACGGGCAATTGCAATGCTGAGTGTACCGACTTTGATGTTCCGTGCCAAGGGCTGTGCTGTGCTGCGCCGTGCTGAATTGCGATGTGCCATGCCGCGATTGTGCTCTATAGCGTTGTGGATCGAGTCCTTGTTTGCATCCGAGTCCTGACCGAACTGATCTGGATCTTAAGCTCGAGCTGCCTGAGCACATAGGAGCTGCTCCAGATCTACTTGAAGTGGAAACGTGCGGGACGTTTAACCAAGTCGATCTCAAAATCCGACTCAGCTTCGAAAAGGAACGACACGACACGGGGCACAGGCTCACGGACGCGCCGCAGGATGTGCCAGGGGACGCGTCAGGGGACGTATCAGGGGACGTGCCCTGGACGTGTCAGGGACCTGCCACGGGACGTGCGAAGGCGCGTGCCATGGGGCTGCCAGAGGACGTCAAGCCAAGGGACGTTGCAAGGGGCGCGCCACGGAACGGGCAGGGGAAACGCTTGGGAACCAGCCAGGAAACGCGACAGAGGACGAGTCAGGGAACGTGCCACGTCGAGTGGCGTGCTAGAGGACGTGCCAGGGCACGTCACGCCAGAACGTCGCAAGAGACGCGGCAGGGGGCGCGCCAGGGCGCCAGGGGACGCCCCACGGACGAGCGGGGTTGGACCGCGACGCACTCTTCTGCGACAGGCGCTTCGCTCGAGACATCCTCAACAAGTCCTCGTGTTCGACATCCGCCTGGGCGACCTGGACACGTGAAAACAAGCGTCTCGCTCGAGAGATTCTCAACACATCCTCATGCTAGACATCCGCCTGGGTAGCTTAGACGCGTGATAATAAACGTTTCGCTCCATACATCCTGCCCACATCCGCATGTTAGACATCCGCCTGGGCGACCTGGATGCGTGAAAGCAAGCGATTCGCTCCACACATCCTCGCCACATCCTCATGCTAGACATCCGCCTGGGCGACCTGGACATGTGAAAACAAGCGGTTCGCTTGAGACATCCTCAACACATCTTCATGTTAGACATCCGCCTGGGCGACCCGGGCATGTGAAAATAAAAGTTTCGCTCGAGTCCGCCTGGGCGACCTTGACACGTGAACACAAGCGTCTCGCGCGAGACATCCTCAACACATCTTCATGTTAGACATCCGCCTTGGCGATCTGGGCAAGTGAAAACAAGCGTTCCGCTCGAGACGTTCTCAACACATCCTCCTGCTAGACATCTGCCTAGGCGACCTGGACACGTGAGACTAAGCGTCTCGCTCGAGACATCCTCAACGAATCCTCATGCTAAAAATCTGCCTGGGCGACCTGGACGCGCGAAAACAAGCGTTTCGCTCGAGGCATCCTCAACAAATCCTCATGCTAGACATCTGTGTGGGCAACCTGGACGCGTGAAACCAAGCGTCTCGCTCGATACATTCTCAAGATCTGGGCACGTGAAAACAAACATCTCACCTGGGACATCCTTTGAAATCTGGTCCCCAGGAGAGGAACAATCTATAACACGAAACAAACGTTTCGCTCGAGACATCCTCAATAATCTGCAAAACAAGCGTTTCGCTCGAGACATCCGCAACACACGAACATGTTTACTTCATCATGTGTTTTATCGATCGGGGAATTTCAGAAACCAGCGTTTCGCTCGGGCCATCCTCAACTATTCAATTCGCGAGCCCACTTCGACCACGTTTCTTATCGCAGAATGAACTCGCCGGCCTCCTTCGAGTCGAGGTCGGGGGTTAACCTTCTAAACGAGAACCCTGAGCCCCAGCCCTTTCTGGGAACACTGCGAAGTGATCGCGTGGTGCCCGCACATGATCCAGAATTTGCCTTGACAGGGATGGTGGGGGGGGTTGTCATGCTTCTGGGTTCGTCCCAGGTCGGGTGGGGAAGGGGCTGTATCCTACCAGTGAACAGTGACAAACCCCTCCCTGGAGGGGAAGGCGGGGGCTCGAAGAATGAGCTTCCTGAATCGCCTGTGCCCAGAGGGCCGGGCGGGATTCATTCCACTGGACTTCGCGCAGCAGCCGAGGAGCCGCGCGCCATGGGCCCAGCGCTCTCTGCAGGTGCTCGCCGTTTCACCCGCTGCTGTGTTTCACAGCACGCGCGACGCCACAGAGCCCTCGCGCTGCCCGGGCCCCCGCCAGCCGGCACCCATGAGAGAGTGCTGTGTCCGGTCGCGGGCCCGCGAGTCTGGAGGGGAGAGGGAGCTGGTGCTGCCAGAGGCAGCCTTGGCCCAAGGTGCCCCTGGCCTTTCCAGGGAGGCCCAGGTAGCTTCGGGAGCATCCCTCACGAGGCCCAGATGGCGTGAAAAGCTGGAGACATCTTGGGCCAGGAATGCCTTTGGCAGCCCCCGAGGGGATGGGGGGGGGGACGGATGCCATGGGGGGAGGCACCCCTGCATCTCGATGTCAGCCGACCAGCCGCGCCGCCCGCTTCAGTATGCCACATACCTATACGACCACCCTTCGGGTGATAAGGAGGTTCGGGGGGGGGGGAACCAACGTCTCACTCGATCGGTCTCACTATCGATCTCAGTATCGATCTCACGATCGGTCTCGCTCGATCGATCTCACTCGATCGATCTCACAATCGATCTCACTCGATCTATCTCATTCGATCGATCTCACAATTGATCTCACAATCGATCTCACAATCGATCACACAATCGATCTCACATTCGGTCCCAATGTCGATCTCACTATCGATATCACAATCGCTCTCACAATCAACGTCACCATCATCATCACCATCATCATCTAATCATCATCATCATCAACACCATCAACATCAACATCATCACCAACATCGTCATCATCATGAGGGCACCGTCATCATCATCATCATCACCATCATCATCATCATCATCATCATCATCATCATCATCATCATCATCATAAACATCATCATCAACGTCAGCATCATCATCGGGACAACATCATCATCATCATCATCATCACCATCATCATCTCATCATCAACATCAGCATCATCATCATCATCATCATCATCATCATCATCGGGACACAGTCATCGTCATCATCATCAGCATCATCATCAGAATCATCATCTTAATCGGGACACCATCATGATCACCATCGTTCTCATCATCAACATTATCATCAACATCGTCATCATCCTCGGGACACCATCCTCATCATGATCATCGCATTATCATCATCATCGACATCATCATCATCAACAACATCATCATCATTGGGGCACCATCATCATCATTAGCGACATCATCATCAACATCGTCATTATCATTATTATCATCATCGGGACACCATCAGCATCACCATCATCATCACCATCATCAAATTCATCAGCATCATCATCGGGACACCATAATCATCAACATCATCATCATCAACATCATTATCGCCGGGACACCATTTCCATCAACATCATCATCACCAACATCATCGGATCATCATCATCATCATCATCATCATCATCATCATCATCATCATCATCGGGACACCATCATCGTCATCATCATCAACATAATCATCATGAGCATCATCATCCTCATCATCGGGACACTATCATCATCATCGACACCATCATCAACATCATCATCATCTTCATCGGGATCATCATCATCATCATCATCATCATCATCATCATCATCATCATCATCATCATCATCATCATCATCATCATCATCATCATCATCATCATCATCATCATCATCATCATCATCCTCGCGGGACACCGCGGGACACCGGCGGGACACCGCGGGACACCGCGGGACACCGCGGGACACCGCGGGACACCGGCGGGACACCGCGGGCCCCCGGCGCCGCCCGGAAGGGAGTCATTTGGTCCGGCCGCGCCTCAGCCACACGGGACACCAGCGGGACACCGGCGGGACACCGCGGGCCCCTGGCCGCCCGGAAGGGAGACATTTGGTCCGGCCGCGCCTCAGCCTCAGGAGACTTTCTCTCGCCCGCCCACGCAGCTTCGCCTCGCCCGCACAGCACGCACGAACACGAAACCGAAATCGATTTCCTGGTAGGGGGGCTCTCCGTTCCACTTCGATCTCACCCCCCAACCTCCGACATAAAGATCATTCCTCCTGTTCCTGCTCCTCCTGCTCTGCCCCCTGCTAGTCCTTCTCCTGCTTCTCTCTCCTCGCTCGACCCTTGTATCTCGTTTCTAGTACTCGTCTCTCTCCCCTCCTCACGGCTCCATCGTCCCTCCATCCTCCTCCCTCCCCCTCGCCCTTACCCCCCTCGTCCTTCGTTTCTCTCCCCTTCCCTTTACTGACACACGCACGCTTGCCGTGCGTCTGGCACGTCATGTACGCACAACGGCCGCTCGCACAGCACGAGCTCTCTTCTTCCTCGTGTGGGCGCAGAGAGTGCACGACGCTCGCATGCTGGACATGCTGTCCGGCTGCCTGTGGCAAGTCCTGCCACCGTGCCAGCCCAGCATTCTGGGTGGCGACTCCGCGAGGGGGCACGGGAAGCCGTCACGTGTGACACCTCGTGTCTCCAGGCTTGGGAGAGCCGTGATGATGATGATGATGATGATGATGATGATGATGATGATGATGATGATGATGATGATGATGATGATGATGATGATGATGATGATGATGATGAGTATGAGGATGCTGGGTATGATGAGGCTCAAGATGGGGATGAATCTCAGGAGGGATAAAGTCAAGCATCAGCATACACCATACACCATACACCCTCATCCTACATTCTTCCCTACGCTTTCAATCTCGTCTTATCATTTTACAGACTTTGATTGCTGCGTGCTTGTATCTCTTACCACGTACGTCCACTTGTTCAACTTCGTGAAGATGCCGGCGGAAAATCACAACATGGGGGCTCCGGTGAAAGGCGTGCTCAAGCAGACCCATACCATGGCCACCCCGCCGAGAGAAGGACACCAGCGCCGAGTAGAACCTCGCCTTCGAAGTCCAGCACAGGAGATGGACGACGCAACACCTGGCGCAGCTGTTGTCGAAGGACCTGGATCTGCACCGTGTCGTCTGGAATACCCTGGAGGGCCAGCTGGAGCTGCAGCACGTCCGGAAGACGACGACCTTGTAGACAACGACGATGAATACGAACCAGTAAACTGAAGTCCATCCAGAAAACATTCAACATGATCGACTCACGAACCTGGAAAGGGATATGGAAATGTGAGGCACGGCAACGTTTTCAAGATTCTGATTGGGCGACGGGCAATTGCAATGCTGAGTGTATTGTGCTCTATAGCGTTGTGGATCGAGTCCTCCTGAGCATCCGAGTCCTGACCGAACTGATCTGGATCTTAAGCTCGAGCTGCCTGAGCACATAGTAGCCGCCCCAGAGCTAATTGACAGGGGAAGCGTGCGGGACGTTCAATCAACTCGGCCTCACAATCCGACTCAGGTCCGACAAGGAGCGACACGACGCGGGACACAGGCTCACGGACGCGCCACAGGATGTGCCAGGGGCGTAAGGGGATGCGCCAGGGGACGTGTCAAGGGACGCATCATGGGACGTGCCCTGGACGTGTCAGGGACCTGCCCCGGGACGTGCCAAAGCGCGTGCCATGGGGCGGCCAGAGGACGTCATGCCAAGGGACGTTTCAAATCCGACCCGCCACGGAACAGGCAGGGGAAACGCTTGGGGACGAGCCAGGAAACGCGACAGAGGATGAGCCAGGGAAATGTGCCACGCCGAGTGGCGTGCTAGGGGACGTGCCAGGGCACGTCACGCCAGAACGTCGCAAGGGACGCGCCAGGGGGCGCGCCAGGGCGCCAGGGGACGCCCCACGGACGAGCGGGGTTGGACCGCGACGCACTCTTCTGCGACAGGCGCTTCGCTCGAGACATCCTCAACAAGTCCTCATGTTCGACATCCGCTTGGGCGACCTGGACACGTTAAACCAAGCGTCTCGCTCGAGACGTTCTCGACACCAAGAATGTGACAGTGCTGGCGGTGTTCACTATGGTGGCGGTCTGGCGTTGGAGATTGAGAACCAGGACCTCAGGAGAAGGTTGGCGGAGATGCAGGAGGAACTCATCTATGCCCAGGCGCAGGTGGCGTCCACCTACTGGCCTGCGCAGGACGCTACGGATGATCAGGGTGGAGAGCTTGCGGATGGACATGCTGGACAGGAGGAGGCTGCAGGAGAGCCAGGCTTCGATCTCGAAGAAGTCCTTTTTCCAGATCGCAGCGGCCATGACCAGGGGCATGAAGGCAGACTCCGAGAATGACCTGAGCTGGCAGACGAGAGGCCTCACTTGGAGCCGAAGGGAAAGGGTAACTTGGGTACAATACTGCAGGGTATGGTAAGGATGAGCTCATCAAGATGACCATGGCGGGCGATCAACAAAAACCGACCCATTTCGGTCAAACGGGGTAGGTTTCAACGGTGTCGCAAATTCAGCAGCCCATGTATGTGCCGCCTCCCCCGACGCATGTTTTCGGGCAGAGTGCTTTGAGGGCGCCGTCGCTGGCGTCTCACTTTATGGGCTCGGACTTGGTGGAGAGGGACATGGACGAGCTCGCCGTGGATGGCCTGAGGAAACTGATGCTGCCGAAGCTCACGTTCACGAAGCAGGAGAACCGCGCGCAGACGCTCAGGAATTGGCAGCGGCAGGTCACCATCGAGCTGGACAGCGTGGGTTCCGTGGTCAGCGAGTTCTGGGCTGCCGCGGTGGACCTCGTGGAGCAGATGCACGCGCAATACGTTCCGATGGGGTCGCAGAGAGGACTTCCCTGAGGATCACAACGCGCGCCAGGGAGGATCTGAAACATGTGGACCTGAAGATTGCGCCCTTGCTCATTGCGGCTATACCCAGGTGCTTGCGGGAACAGCTACTTGCAAAAGGGACTCCGACGACGGCCCAGATATTGTTCGAGGCTTGTATCGGCGGCGCTCCGGTCGGAGTGGACGACAAGCAGACCACCATCGACAGCTTGCAGTATCCGAGAGTGCCTACATCGGCGGGCGACGCATTGCGCTTGCTGCGCCCGTGGGCAATCGTGGTCGAGAGCGGACGAGCTCCACATTGCGCGGCCCAGGTCCACTTAACAAAAACCATGGCTTGAGATAGATGGTGGGCCGATTGGAGAAGCAGTGCCCAGAGTTTTGCTTTTGGTTTGCGACGGTCGTCGATGCCAACAAAATACCGTATTCCATCAACGAGGGCAAGGTCTTTTCCTTCTGGGAGTACTGTGCTTGGTCGGCGAGTCTCGCGAATTGGCTAATGGGGCTGCGAGCTTCCAGGCGCCTGGAGAGAGGGGCCGCTAGCCCCTGGTTCGGGAGTCGGCAAGGGCAAAGATAAGGATGAAGGAAG